GAAATAAAATCCGGCTGCGACATTCGTTTGATCGAAAATGTATTTCTTTTTCTACAATTTTCGATCAATTCATAGTAATGTTGACTTAGACCACTTTCATAATTAACACTAAATGAATTCCGTATAACGTTGTAATTACAACTACTATCTAAAGGTTCATTTTTGACGATATCGTAAAAATTACATTGAATAAATTTAGTTTAAAATCATGTCGTGTGAAATAAGTGATAAATTCATTTTTTTTTAAATTTTGACTTAGACCACTTTCATAATTATGGGCACAATTATAAGCTATCGACTTAAATCGCTAAATGAACGTGGATAAGGCTGTTTAAATCCCTGCTGCCATCTGTGCTATGGCCATGTCGAGTCGGTAAGAGCAGTGCCTAGACGTTCTTCAAATAGTCTAAAGCACTGCGTCCATGCAGTAGGGTACTAGGGATCTCCGATCGAAAACCAGGATGCGGCCGACATTGCAGGGTCCTCGTTCGCCTTCCCTGTAGCACCGACGGTTCCCTGGCCACAGGATCGTGTTCTCAGGGCACATCATCGAGAGCTGCACGTATTCCGCTTGGTCGGGAAAGTAGAATAGCTGCGGGTCCAGGTCTCTACCTATACCGGCTGTAGGACTGCCATAGGCGCACAAGATACAGAACGCGACTAAAGTGATCACCGCTAAGGAACGCATCCTTGTTTCCTATCCTCGATTACGTCTGAGATCCTGCGACCGATTGGATCCTGCAAGCAGAAACAATACTTCTAAAAATTTCTTCTTTTGGAGTAAAATTCTATATCAATTTGTAATGAGTTTCGATTGAAGTTTAGTTTTGCGGGATTAAGGGATCATTAAATTGTTGAGCTCGTATTTTGTTTTAAACCTCACCAATGTAACCTGTATTTTGTTGAATTAGAATTTTACAAATTTAAATGAATTTACGAGTTCGAACAATTTTTGTTTGTTTAGTTCCAATGTGATTGTACGAGGAGAGATTGTAATTGTACAAAGACCTTTCGAAATGTGACCTGTGATTTATTCTCACGAGTTTATTGTATTTCAAGCGAAAAGTGTACCTCTGATATTAGAGTAACTCGGAAATGACGTGTAATTTAATTATGAGATTTGTGCAGATAAATTGAAATGTTAAGTACATGATTGTTACAAATGTTCGAATTCTATTCTGACAGAGAATTATGTTAAAATAAAATCGAAAGAAAATAGGAGAATCAGATGGTAGTACGCGTTCAAACGAGCGAATAATTAATTAGAAATGTCAGGCGCATGCGACGAACTGCAATGCAACAGAGCGAAAATACAATAATTATTATTTGCGAGGTCGTGGTTACGCTAGTGCCACACAGATTCTCTAATAAGATTGCTCGTAGTTGTATTAAAGAAAGCATGATTTTGGGAGAAATGAATTATTAAATAAACATAATGATCAATTATTATCCAATAAACTGCGCTTGATCGAAACTGTAGTAACCTAGGGAATAGGGAAGAAGTACACTTACTTAACTGCCTAATTTTATTACATCGGAATTTTAAAAAATAACTCTAGGTTACCTTGAATTAAAAATATAAAATCGAAAAATATGTTTATAAAGTTACGCGTTAAAACTGGATAAGATTGTGATCTTAAAGTTTGCATACGACAAAGTGTTTGAAAATTCTGTAAAACATTTCTGAAATTTGGATTTGCATTTTAAGGTTAAAAAATATTCATGAGAAGCGAAAGAAACGCCATGTTTACAATTATCTTACAGTAGAATGACGAAAGTCGGTAGACAGAAAATTTTCACGAAATTATGAGAGACTCCACAGATTTTTATTTAACATTTTCCTTATCAAAATCCTATTAATAGACTTTTCAATCACTGAGCTGCATGTAGAAGAAGCTCGATAATTATCTTTCACGTAACAATTTCAAAAAAGACTATGCATGAAATTGCTATCGCTTTGGAACTATTATTTAAAGAATTATTAACAATTCATTTTTAACTGTAATATAAGAACTTTAACATAAACTAGACTAAACTTTAACTGGAACTTTAACATCAAAGAAATGTAATTTCATACTGACGATGTAAAGCACAGTAGCTTACATTGCATAGTCTACACTGCATCATTTGCCTACGAATTAAAATGGGAGGTCGATACGTGCTTGGTCGTGATTCGTTAATTGGACTATCAATACACGCGAACGTATCTCCCTGTCTACCCAGTCCTATTTATCTCTTTCATTTTCCCGGCAATTTCTTTCGCTATTCTTCCAGTACAGACAATTAAATTTCAGAATACAGTAAATTCTCCCTAATTGATTCTCAGCTTGGGAACAAATATAGACAATTTGGGAAGAGGAGGTACGTTTATTTCAGCCTTGCGGCTGATTTTTATAGTTTTTGACAATCGGTAACTATAAAAATGAGCCGCGAGACTCGAATGATCGTATCTCCTCTTCCCAAATTGTCCATTTTTGTGTACAAGTTGAGGATCAATTACGGAAAATTTAGTATACTTTACTTTATTTTTTGTATCATAACTCCTTCATTAAACATTAGAACTACAGTGATTAGCAAAATTGAACTAACACAAGTGCTTTTTGTGAAATATGTATATATTTTCTATCTTACTTTGGATTAGTGCAAAATTGAGTCAGAAGAATAATTATAGAATTGGAAAACTACACAAAGTACGATGAAACAATTTTATGTTTATTATACAAAAATAAGTGTGAATAACATATACCATCAATTTCTTCCATTTCCTACGGCAATATATAAATAAATTTTCATGTTTCACAATAAGCATTTCCATCGATACAATTTTGCTCCTCACTGTATCTATCACTAAAAGTGACTAAAGTAGATTGTTCTACAACATTGACAGTGGAGTTCATTAACTCCGAAGAAGAAATGCGAAGAAAAGGAGAGAAGTTATGTCGTACACATCGAAGATTGTCAATGCTATCAATTAGGGAATTCCCAGTACGCGATAGTATCATCGAGTTGCTTTCTAGCTGAAAGAAAGAGAACGATAAACTTGGTAACACTAATTGAAACATCAATTGTTAAGAATGATATATTCTTGTTAATAAACTGAACAGATCACGGAATTTTCAATTGTCGTTACTCAAATAACAATTTGTATTAGATGCACAGGTGTGCGATGTGATCTAAATCAATTTTAATTATGGAAACATGTCGCCGCGGGGCAAAGCCGAAAATAAGTGGCTGTGCTGTGGAGCTTCAAACAGCATTGTTATTGCAATTTATGATTATTATCACCAGTTTTCATTATGTTGAGATTTAATTTTTAGTTGACTTACAGCTTTACCTGGCTTCAGCTTTAGCTAATAAATTATTGAATTATACCGACCGTGCGGCATTCATAAATTAATTATGTTTCGCTGTACATTAAATAAACAGCAAAAGTCATTCATGTATGTACATCATTCGTGCTAGTATAAAATACATACTAATTACCTATTAACTATCAAATAAAACATTTATTACGTTTGAAAGAGGGCCCGTTCGAACAACATGTATTATAAATTGCCATGACTTAAAATATACAGTATGTTTCCGGTATTCAATTGTGTGCATTCGAATTAATTAATACGATACAAACAGAAGACTACGATATACTGTGTTGGTGTTGTATTCTAGAGAGGAAATTGAATTGCATACAATTGAATTGTATTGTCAACAAATGAATGATAAAAGGGAAACCTTTTTTTTGCAGAAATATAAAAAGTTAATTGTCTTTTGAAGAATCGAAAAAATCTTTATGTCAAAGATTTAAGTATTAAGAATTTAAATTTAAATTAGAATTTAAATTTTTTTTTTAAATCTAAATTTATGCAAAATCGAATTAATAGTCTTGCGAGTTGTTGCAAAATAAATACAGAACGCAACAAATACAGAAGAAATACAAAATTAGAAATTTAATTGCTGACCGTCTTTTTTGACAGGCATTTCAAACATTTAGTTTTTGATGGATGCATTTACAGCACGAACACGTAACTAAATTTTTCATTAGTGTAGGAACACTTAGCTCGCTATAGTTTTTGGTAGCTTCGTTAGGTATTTCACCACTGTATCAGGGAATGTAATATGAAAAGTTTAAAGCTGCCCTGAAGTAAGGATTAATAAGGATGGTTCGAAATTCACCCTGATGAACGCTGCGCATCGTTCATTACAGCTTGCATTGTAAGTTTCTAAGCTGGACCATCACAAAGCCTTCCCTAATTACTTGTGTTACGCGCAAGTATCATGCGATTCGAAACGATACAATATTACTCAGCAACTCTGAATACGATTCCTCATCTAATTGCAACATTTAACTCGAAATGTTTTATGACGAAACAATGAATCTGTAACTTCGATCAAGTTCAGTTTCATTTTTTGTAGAGGTCTGTGTGCGATACGTAGTTTGAAGTAATATTTCTAGTTCTCCAAAAACTGCTGGGAGACTATGATGACATTTTTAAATTTTTCGAGCACGAAGAAAATTGAGTGGATCGTGCATAAAATTACATGTAAAAATCATTATAATCTTTTATGATACCAAATTGTATAAATCTATTCTATTTTCTATTCAACGTTCTACATATTTTATACCAAATTCTCACATGAAAGCGCACAAAGTTCTACAATTTAATAATATTAATATGCAAATCGTAAAATACAAGGAAATATATATATAACATATATTAGGTCTACCGGAAAGTTCTGTCTGATAATGTCATTGCAAATTTCGATAGGTATGCACATGTTCATTTGGGACATATATTTTTGAAAAATGTTGCTTACAAATTGCCATCACGCTAGCAAGAGGTCGTAAGTAACGACGGAAATTATATTGTACAATAAATATTACTAAATTTATGAAAAATTTATTATTTCCTTTCATTTCTTAAACGGACAGAACTTTCCGGTAGACCTAATATATTTNTAGAATTTAAATTTTTTTTTTAAATCTAAATTTATGCAAAATCGAATTAATAGTCTTGCGAGTTGTTGCAAAATAAATACAGAACGCAACAAATACAGAAGAAATACAAAATTAGAAATTTAATTGCTGACCGTCTTTTTTGACAGGCATTTCAAACATTTAGTTTTTGATGGATGCATTTACAGCACGAACACGTAACTAAATTTTTCATTAGTGTAGGAACACTTAGCTCGCTATAGTTTTTGGTAGCTTCGTTAGGTATTTCACCACTGTATCAGGGAATGTAATATGAAAAGTTTAAAGCTGCCCTGAAGTAAGGATTAATAAGGATGGTTCGAAATTCACCCTGATGAACGCTGCGCATCGTTCATTACAGCTTGCATTGTAAGTTTCTAAGCTGGACCATCACAAAGCCTTCCCTAATTACTTGTGTTACGCGCAAGTATCATGCGATTCGAAACGATACAATATTACTCAGCAACTCTGAATACGATTCCTCATCTAATTGCAACATTTAACTCGAAATGTTTTATGACGAAACAATGAATCTGTAACTTCGATCAAGTTCAGTTTCATTTTTTGTAGAGGTCTGTGTGCGATACGTAGTTTGAAGTAATATTTCTAGTTCTCCAAAAACTGCTGGGAGACTATGATGACATTTTTAAATTTTTCGAGCACGAAGAAAATTGAGTGGATCGTGCATAAAATTACATGTAAAAATCATTATAATCTTTTATGATACCAAATTGTATAAATCTATTCTATTTTCTATTCAACGTTCTAC